CTCTTCTCAGAAAAGCAAAGAGCTACGGGCATCTTTCTATCAAAGTCTGGCAGGTTTAACATAACCAGACCCAGCCACAGATATGAGGAGTGTTCAGCTTCCTGAGTCAATCCAGATTGCCTTATTTTTCCCCATGGCCTCTTTGAGAACAGCTATGTTCCCACTTTGGATGCTCCTCAGCACTTGAGCTGGCAGAGGCTCGAGGAGCTGAGCACAAATCCTTACCCTGATAACCCTGAAGAGCTGGAGTAGCCTGTTGCAGGAATCACACAACTTAAAACTTAGGGTATCAGAGGTGGGGATGAGGGACCATACAAGATCACATCAGAAAAAAATAATTTAGAGGGAAAACGATGCACGTGTGACTGTCCTGTAAGGCTGCACATCTTGGCAACTACATTTGCAAATGCTGGTTCAGCCGCAAAGAAAACAGTGCCAGAGAGAGTCCTTGTGACCTTGAACGGTGCGGAGAAACAGGGGGCTGGAGGGGAGGAATGAAGCTGTACCGGGGACAATTTGACTCTTAGCCAGCTCAAGTGGAGCACAGAAAGGTGGCCTTGGGCTACTCCTTGCAATTGTGCAAAGCAAAACATTGGCGAGGTTAATAGCTGCATTGTGTATTCTATGGCAACTGCAATAATTCACCACACAGTAAAAAAATTAGCATTTTAAAAGTCTTCAAGTTATTCAATAACAACAAAACCATGAATAAACGTATGTGTGCCATATTAATTAGAACAACATTTTACAGGAAAATCGTAATAATAACAAAAATGGCAAAGCTTAGCACTGTATCACTCATTTTCGGTTTTAAGTACAATGGAACAGCTTGCTGAAATGTATTTACCTTCATCCTCAAATACAAAGGGCATTCAGAAATATAATTTCTTACATATACATACCTGAAAACAGTGAAAGAGGAGAGTAAATGCTAAAGAAATGTAAAATTAATACCACACTCTAACATTTAAAGAAAAATATACTGTATTCATTTGTCTTTGCATTTAAACTGCATGAATATTCTAGTTAATATTCTACCAGTGTGTGCCTGGTTTGGGGTGGGTTTTTTTGATATGTGGTAAGTTTGAAGCAAAATTAAAATTGCAGCTGATGAATGCAGCTGAAAGTATCATTTTAAGAGCTGCACTAAGGCAAGAAGGAATTGACAGACAGCAGCTGATAAAAACTAGAGAGACTTCCATTACCAACTGTCATATTTTTGTGGGGACAAACAATATGCAGAATGAATACTATTCCACAAAGTTATTCCAAAAGAGATTTAAAACAGTGGATGTAAAAATAAATAAATAAATAAATAAAAATTAAAAAATTCTCTCTCTAGAGCAAGTGTGAAAGAAATAGTGCAAATTATAAAGTGAAATATTTTATGTAGCTCCTTTTCGTATGTGTACACACATACATGTATATAACAGTTCTGCCTCCTCTCGCTGATAACATCACTCTGTAAGCTGGCACCATGATATAAATTAAGCCACTCGGTCTGACACTGCTGCAGTTATTAAACAGACCACATTGAAAAATAACATTTTTAAAACCGTTTTCTCATTTCCCCTGCTGCTGGCTTGTGGAGAACACCTTGCCTGCCTCTTGACAGGTCAATTATTCCAGTGCTCAGCTCCTTCTTACAGATATGAAAGAACCCAAATCGCTGCTCATCTTTTCCAGAGGCAGCCAAACAGAATTCCATTTGTTACCTTCACAAGGCCAAAGAGGCAGGAGATGGATGGATGCTGAACAGTGACAAATGTCTGATCTAGGTCTAACTGCAGCAAAATTGATGTTGGGAGGTAGGTCTCAGAAGTAACATGGCATGCAAAATGCAATCCAGCGGAAAGCTGCCGCTCCCCTTGGCTTGTGCTTTGCCTTTACCAGGGCCATTCATTTTGACTTTCCAAATGCACGTATCACTCTTCCAGATTATTTTCTAAAAATAGTATACCTGACATTTTTTAAAAGTCAAGTCTAAACCAGCTCATTTTTGAAATGGAATCACAGGCGACACAGCAAGTGGGATAACTTTAAATAGACTTTCTTGGTTGGATGAGAAGCAACTCACTGTCATTAAACATTTAGTTGATGTTATTTTTGAAATATATGAACACCGATATAATTGCAAAAATAATGTGAGGACTTAAAGGAAATATCTGTGGAAATGCATCGACTGAATATCTTAATTTTCTCCTGGAAGTACTTATCACCCAAGCAAGAGGAAGAATTATTTACAGGGCTGACATCTGTGTACTGATAATACTATGTGTTAGAGGCTGATGAGTTTTTTGAGAGAGAGACACTTGTAAACAGACGCCTTGAAGGTTATATTAATTTACAAAGCAGATCCTAGGCTGTGAGTTATACACGTCTGCAGGCAGTAAATTTTTAAAATCTGCACTATGTGGAAAGCTATTCCACATGAACAAAGTAGCCTTTAAAGTAGGAAATTACTTGACAGGCTCTGCTGGGGGGTGAGGTTTATAAAAGAAAATGTCATTCCTCAAGTATTTTATAGAAAGATAATATGGGGCGTACAAAATCTTCTCTCTTTTTCAGGAGTTCTTAATTTAGCTTTAGTGAGAGACAGCTAGATGAACTAAATAAACAACAAAAACTGAAACTGGACAAGAAGAAAATCTGCTGGTAAGGGGACAAAATCCTACATTTTAACTCTAGAAAAGCAATTTCATCTTTAAAAAGCTTTGTTCAATTTCTTCTTTTTTTTTGAAAGCTTTATTAACACTGTTGCAAAGATATTCTTTACCAAGTGATTTAGGCTTTATAGTCTGAATAAAGAAATGGGAACCATAAAGTCCCAAATTCGAAATCAGACTTGAACAATACACACTATTCTACATGTTGCAGGACACTGAATTTCCTCATCTTCAAGTACAAATTGCAACCAAGTTATCTTCAGGATTACTTACGTGCTGGGCTATAATCTTAACAAATCAAAGAGAAAAAGTGAGTAATAAGTGAATCTGTTCTAGAATTAAAAAGTTCTTAGCAATCAGCACTAAATTAAACATCAGGAGACCTCTGTAAATGGTTAGAAAGCATCTTCAATAGGAAGGAAAGAGTGCACTCAAAACCCACTGAAACCATACAAACATTTTGAAATTTTACCAGTATTTCCTCCCCTTGCTTTGCAAGAAACCAATGAGCGAGGGAAGATGAACCCTCATTGTTATGATCCTCCTCCTACTTTTACAGCAGAGATTCTCCAGGCAAAGGTTGCACTAGGTAGATAGAAAGATAGGTTTCCTGCACATTTCTAAGAGAAAAGGATAAAAATTACTTATCTCTTACCTCACTTCCTTTACTTTTCAATAAAAAAAAGAAGTCCTGGAGTGCAAATGTTCTTGTAAAACTACACACCACGCTACATGCTATAGATAGAAATGTTGGTGCATTTCAGCAGTGTAAAGTGTTTACTGTGGCTGTGTCCTGCATGTTTCACAGAGGCTTGAAAGGCACTTCAGGAAATCCTCTGAAGGACTTATCAGGGCAGCTTCATGAACAGTGTGCTAAGAGAGACTATAATAAAGTGGCATGCCCTTGAGACTGGAGTTCCTGCAGACTAGTTAAATAACTGTCCTTCACTAGTCCCCATTTCCCAACCAAACCGTCCATCTACATTATTGCCCATTCAGAAAGATGTGCTTAATATCAGACCCTCATCTGTAAAAGGTTTTATTGATTAGTTTTATTTTCAGAGTGCAGACCAAAAGTCTTTTATTGCAGCAACACTGGTTTATAGATAAAAGGACGGCTGCAGTGCACACTTTCTGAAAGACCCAAAGCCACCTGTGCATTAGAAGGACTTATCAGCCAGAAAAATTTAGGGCTGGTGGAGTGCTTTCTCATGAAGTACTTACAGCACAAAACTGAATATTATATTGAATTCTAGTGCCAACTCTATATTTAACAAGGAGAATCACATGGAAGAAATAGAGCTGAACATATGTATAACCAAAATGCTCACTCTTGATTTCACCTCCAGTGCTAGGTATGGAAGCCCCTTGCTTTTCTGACCACATTACCAACCTTCCTCCGTGGTGCGAGCAGACTTTGATTCACTGTCCATTCCTTGGAACTCATTGAAATAAGGTCGAACTTTAATTTCATATGTGACCCCCTTTTTCAAGCTGACGAGGACAGCACTGCGCTCGGTGGGGACTTTGACCTCCAAATTCTGCCACACAGCTGGAGAAGGTAGGCCGGACGTTTGGCGATACATTACTCGGTAGCCCTGAATAAACTGGGACTGGCGATCAACCTGGAAATGGCATTAAATAATATGTCATTAAACATACTGGCATGAAACTGTATAAAAAAACCAAAACATTTGCCTTAGAATATTTTTGTCCTCATAAAAAAGAGAAAATTAACAGTTGTTTAAGCTGCTAAATTTAAAAATCAAACTGCCTTCTTGTAAGTTACTGTTGATTGCCTATAAGGAACATTTTTCTCATATTACTTGTTATAGAATAATTCTTTCTATTTTACTTTCTCCAGCTCTGTATATCATGACAAATACCACCTTAAATCATAAACCAAAGCCCCACTCCTGCAACAAATCACGAAAAGAGAACTTTGGCACAATGCTTACTGTATGTAAACTTATTAAGCACATCTTGGCTACTGATGTGCTGAAATATGAGAAGAAAAGCAAAACAAATTCTTTTCAGAAAAGGGCAAGCCTTTGAAGATACCCTCCATGCTTTCAGTTAGTCCATTACTTGGCTCACAGCTCATCTTTTCATGAGATGCTCAGGAAAGTAAAATAAACATAAGATAGATGTGGAGAAAACAACTTCCAAGGACATGGGCTGCTTCTTGTGTTCACAGTCTAGGCAGCCTCTTGGCACCCCAGGGCTGTGATGCTCTCAGGACTTCAGACAGAGATGCAATGTTGGTTTTGGTTAATATATTATATATGTTGTTAGGCAAGCACAATTCAAGATTGGACCATAGGTAGATGTTAAACAATTCTAACCTATCATAGCTAGATATAGGAATTTAATTTGAAGGAAAAACTTAAAATATGTTTTATCTTGGAGAGGTTGCATGCATTTTTTCTCTTGGGGAAAAAAAAGGCACGAAACAGTGATTTGAACTATTACGACATTTGTATGAATTTTGCCTGAAAAATAAAGTCAAAACACTTTGATGGAAAAACCAAATTAAACCCGGTGCTTCTGTAGCCCTCAAATAAAGAGCCAAAGAAAGCGCAGCACAAATAACAAGACTAGATGTTTGGTAAATTTCTTGCTTATAACTACAATTCAACAAGTAGGATTTCATTTCTCTCCTTGACAATTAGCTAGTTCAAAGATATTCCAGAATTAGAGATACATTTGTTTGATTTCTTTTAAGAAGAAATGAATTTAAGGCTGAAAACACAAACCAGGGTCTATTACACTTCTGTAATCTTGTTACAGTTTATTGAGGCATTCAGAGGGGACACAGATTCTTAAGACATTAAAAAGCAGGGCAAGCAAGAAGAAAGGGTTATTTATGAGAGCAAAGCAGAAATGTCTTTCATCAAAACTGTCACTGGTAAAAACATTGCAACATATGTTACAACAACATTAAGCGTGCATTTTATAAACTTCTCTACATTCACTTTAAGTGAATTTATGCACTGAAAGAGGGATATAACTCACAATAATAGGTTGTTAATACCGAAAGAATCAAGCTGTGTTTTTAAGAAGAACATTAAGCAGCTGTTTCCAGATGAAGGGAGTCTGTAAATCAGGGTAAATTGTTTTTATCCATGTTTGACTTTCATTAATTAAATGCTCTACGGACATAAAGACTTTATGAACCTCATGTTTACTACAAAATTCAGCAAGAGCAACGCTTTGCAATCATGTACTTTGCAATACAGATTCTCAACCTAAATTACAATATAAGGCTATGATGTTTAATAATCAAACACTGAGTTTGATTCCCGCCTGAATTCCGAGTCACAGCCACGCTGAAAGACAGCATAGCTTTGTTCCAACTTTCTGTTCTGTCTTTGCTGGGCTTCTGAGCTTTGCTGACTGCTGCCTAGTGGAGAACGTCTGAAAATTCAGAACTGATGAGGCTGAATTGTAACCCTGGGCTGCCACAAAAGAGGCTGGAAACTGCTTTGTACGGCACGGTACAGACAGAAACACACCCTCCGACTCAGTGAGAAGAACTGGATGCCTATAGCATGCCTATAGCATACCTATAGCACACTAATTCTGAGTCTATCATACTTATGTATCTACTTACATACAGATCATAAACAAATTATTCATACATCTCTTTTCCTCCTAGACTTGCAAGTTGCTGACCTCAAAGACTAAACAATACAAGGTCTATGAAAAGAGAAAGCAGAGGTACAACACGGCTGTCATCTATAAGGGTGCTACAAGCCAGCCTGAGCTGGGGCTCACCCAAGTGTCACAGAGCTTTCCATTACCAGTTCGATCAGAACAGGGCTGAGTGATCCGCCCAAATTTCAGATTCTTGACAGTGATTACATTGTTTGGGGTCTGGAAAGGTACTTCCCAAAGAAAATACTAGGCCTTTTTGATGTTTTCTATAAACAACCAGTTGCATTCTGCATCTAGGAGAGGTGATGAAGCTCCCTCTCATGCCCACTGAAAGCCAGTCTGAACAAACTGGGCCTTCCTTACGTGCAGAATGTTGGGAAACTACTCGGGGGGCACGGCACTTATTGAGAAAAGTGGATATTTTTGTTTTGTTTGGAGTTTTCTGATCAGTAAAATATTACTTTTGGATAATTACGTGGATTAACTAGAGATATTGGTGAGGTATAGGACACGTATAGTTCACATATACATACACATACATGTGTACATGTCCATGTATGCATACACATACACATCCACGTGTGTATATGTCTCCATATACATGCACACACAGTCTGCTCTATAACACAAAGCCCGTGACTCCATCGTTTCCTCCATTTGTTATGTGGTAATTACGCGTCAGGCCAACAGCAGGCCACTAAAACCATGCTTACCATTAACGAGCTGCACTCAGCTGTGCTAAGCACCAAACAATTAATTCTACAGGTTTGGGTCACATCCACACACAGGCAGAGCTGTGGAAACATGCACCAGGATTTGATGAAAGAATGTCATTTCTAGGTATTCTCCTTTCTCTCTCTTTTTTTTTTTCTCCAAAGTAAAGGGTTGCAGCTTTCTCGTACAAAGTACTTATGGTTATTACAGAGACTGCAGGAACTCTGAATGCTGGGATCAGAGAATATTTCCAGTCTTCCTGCAACACTCTTAACTACTCCTAAATTTGTGTAAGCAGCAGTGACACCCACTCAAAAGAGCTGCAGCAGCTGCTGATCCAAAGAGACTCTTTCTCCCTCAAAAGACAGACGGCAGAAATGCAGATGCTCCTTTAAAAGACAGAGGAGAGGAATCACAGGGTAAGTTCTGCTCAACACTGGCCTGATGCTTCAAGGTGACCTATGCACATCAGTGGTCCTACACCCTCCTTCTCACCCTCTTTTATGATGGATACGTAGTGTGGGGGGTATCTACAAAACTGAGGACAGCTCTGCCTTTCTCCAGAACAGGAAACTCCTTTTCCCTGCACGTTCAAATCTGCACATCCCACACCTTCCCATCAGACAGGTTCAGTGGCTAGTAGATCATTCAGCTGGGCTGTTAGGTTGGTAAAAAGATGTCAAGAAACTCGTAACGCAGCTTATGCTGCAAATACAACCTCCTCTCAGGCAAATCTTCTTCACCCTGAAGACATTTTGCAATATGCTCTTTAATATGTAAATTTCTACCCCAAAATATTGCAAGTAACACTCTGCTCCCACACCCACAGTGATGCTCCATCTGGGCAGCACACCTTGCACACTGTGCTGAACTCACCAGTGCAGACTTGCAGTGACCCCTGGGAATACAAACAGCACCAGGTTTGCCTGGAACAAGGCAAAGGGTGATGATACTCTGGAAAACTGTCTAAAGGACTTGACTCTTGAAGCTTCCAGTGAAGTGCATTAATTTAAAATCAATGTCAAATTAAAAGACAGAGGTAAATAAATGATCCTTCTGCCTGGCAGCCTCCTAGAAGGCAGTCAGGATTTCAAAGTGACAATTCTTTTTGCTATACTGAAGAACTGATTTTGATTCCTGCTTGTGCCACAGGGCTCCTTTATAACGCTGGGAAACGTCACATTTGGCCACTAATGGAACTCTCAGTTTCATGCCCAGTGAGGCGAGAGGTGCTGAACTAGAGTTGAGGTCAGCAAAGAAAGTGCTTGGAGTACCCAACATACTGGTGCAAAGCAAAATACTTTGATAAAAGCAAAAATAAAGCAGGCCCAAGGCTTAAAATTAGCCATTTGATAACAGTGGGCGAATGTGATTCCGTAAGTCTCACCAGCGATAAATATCTTTGCACCTCACCTCTCTATGTGTAAAGTTAGGATAATGACACATTTTTTTTCATTGTGATGTTAAATTCAGTATTATTTGTGAAGCACTCAAATGTTACAGTTGAGAGCATGACAGATCAGCAAGCATCCAAGACAAACTAATAATTTTTTATTCAACGCAAGTTTTCAATGCCATGAATTTAATAAGACCTGGCACCACACAGTCAATAAAGATGAAAAGAAATGCTGAATAGCTCCATGAAGAAGAGATCCTGTATGCAACTAGATAATTATAGCTACACTTTAATACTTATGCACAAGAGGGATAAATTTAAGTGACAGTGAAAGCCTAACTTCTGACATCCCTCCTTTTTTTAGCACTGACTTTATAAGCCTGACCTTCTTTTAAAACAGATAAAATATGTGTGTATATGTATGTGCATATTTTAAAACTGCAACACAGTAGCAGAGAACTATTTCTGAAATTTTAAACTCAAATTTGTAAAATTAAAAAAAAAAAAAAAAAAAAAAGAAAAAAGAGAAAGCAAAGCCACCAGAACAATCCCAGAAAGAAGGAACAAATTGGTGTTAATTTGAGGGGAGTCAGGGAGACAGAAACTCAGTAATCAAGGAGGTTCCTTCCCACTCACTCTTTGAATCACAGGAAGTCAACAGAGTCTTTACGACTCTCATGGCACTTCTTTTGTATGACAGCTACACTGTCTAACCATTTTATATTAACAGTGTGGACTTTATTCTCTGGACAGAATGGCTTTTTTCCTAGAGACTGTGGTTAATTAATTGGTTTTGTTCTGGTTGCTGGAAAGTTTCTAATTAGCTGTTCCAGAGATCTTTTTTTGTGTCTTTCTTCCCTTGGGCAATTCCGAAACGTCTCTACAGAGGCCGGTCTGCTTGTCAGGTGGCACAGGGTCACTGCTTTGAGGGATCTTCCCAACAACCAGATACCACCGTAGCATCCCTAATAATTTACCTTTACCTTACCATGTTTTTTTCACTCATTACTTGTTTTTACAAGAGACTCTTTTTATACATACACATATATATATATATTTACACACGCACACATATATAGGTATATTTATTTCATTCTAATATAATGAAGTTGGTTACATTGCATAAAACTGAATTCTGGTTATCTTGGGGCTTTCTTTTGTTGCATTTGCTAAAGCCAGGGCAAGCCTATGAAACTGTGTTGCTGGTAGCTGTCACACCCAAGAAAGGACTTGAAGGAGCACCTCACAGATGCAATCCAGGCTTACAATCACTGCCTGCTAACATCCAAAGATTCTAAACTACTGACCCATCTGCTTGGGCAAAAAGGGTTTGCTGCAGAGGTGCCCCAGTGAGAAAGACAGCCTGTCCTGGAGCGATTTAGCCGAAACAGTATTTTTAGAAAAGCAAGCTGAGTGTTGACATCAGCAACAGCAAAACACAATAACACAATTTTCTAAATAATGTTCTAAGAAAGACAAATCTGTGGGTTTCTGTATTTATGCTAATCTGCCCCCTGACCACTGAAATCTGTCAGAACAAGGATGGCACATAAGCCCCCATAAATATGGCTGAGTTGTGCAAAAACAGCAGTAATCCCTATAACACACAATCCATCACCACACTGCTTATCTCCTGTGCTATAATCCCCTGTCCACATTAACCTTTTAGCAGGATTACATGTAGAAGAAAAACCTTGAGTATTGGGTGCACCCCTTTAGCAGAATCCATCCTACAGAATACAAGTGTTTTGGTGATGTGCGCTGCATTTCTCTCACTCTTCCACCCGTGGCTCTCCCTCCTCTGGGGCAGATGCCCCAAGAGCAAAGCACTCTTTTCTGGCCCTAGGAACCCTCTCTCTCTCATTCTACAGTTACAAATCCTTTCCTTGAAGCCTCAGGAAAGAAAACATAGCATTTTGAAAGCCAAATACTATATCAGAAACTCTACCCAGTAGTTTGACCCCTCAGATAGAAATGTTGTTAAGTACTGCCAAAAAGATTCTGGTCTTCTATAATGAAAGGACATCTACTGATTGAGGGTAAGGCTTGTGCTAGAAAACCAGATGCTACGTAGTGGATCAGGCACCAGCACCACATGCTTCTGACTTCACTCTAAGTGCCCTATAGCAAAGCTATTTTTGCATTTTAGGGTCAACAAATCATAGGGTGTTGTCAGAGGTCCCTATGCCTTGAAGTGGAAAGTGCTTTTTCATACAGCGATTTCATGATGATATTAAACTTGGATTTTTTTACACACAGAGTAATGAGTCCACAGATCAACTATCCTTTAGATTACAGTGTTAATTCATTTTTATAATACTTTTCTAGTCAGACTGCTAGCTTGCTTTGAGCTGAACACTGAAGACTTTGAACCTACTTGACTTGAAAAAGAAAATAAAAAGACCATTTCATTACCACATAGATATAGATAGATAGATAGATAGATAGATAGATAGATAGATGCCTGTATAATGTTTGCAGTCAAGACTGGAGCTTTTCATGGTCATAAAAAGCTGGGGGGATAAGCAGGTAAAATGAAAGTACTATTCAGGTGATAGGAACAGAAGCCTTACCGTCCAGGTGACTTGCACCGTCGTGGGTGTCAGCACCACCGGATTATGCAGTCGTACAATGACATCTCCCAGCTCCTTCTGGACTTGCCTGTGATCCACACCTTGTGCTGGTGGGCTGATATCTGCCAGGCCAGGCACACACATGAAAGCATTATGTTAATGAGAATAGTTATATATGGCATCAAGAAGAATTCCTGAATAGCTTAATGACCCGATTAAAACAGCCTTTACAGTACTGTTTTTAAACAATGCAGTACTAAGGTTTAAATATGAGCTCCAAAGTGTATCAAGTGATGCAAACAAACCATTCACCTTTCTCTGCTTAGGAAATCATGAAATAGAAAGATGTTTAAATGAGTACTCAGACTTGATGGCAAAGTTTTCTCAGATCTGGTAAGTGATGAGAGGGATGCAATATTCACTAGTTCCAAAATATTCAGATAATAATAATGTTGCCCAGAGGTCTGGAACCAAGTTGGTTAGTATAATTGAAGAAAATGAACAGGTTGGGTTTTTTAATTATTTTCTTAGAGCATACATGACATTAAGTCATTATATGTTTCCAAACTTTCACTAAGCTTCCCCTCCCCAGATACCATGCGTACAAGAAACAAAAAACTAAAAAAAGCACTTTCTTCTGCAAAGCAAATTTGCCCTTTACAGATAGAGATGATGAAATCTAGAGCAAATATGAAAAAAATAATTAATTTATGAAGCCAAACTGATTCTGATCTAATAAAAGGCCAACAAAAACTCTCCACCACAAAAATTTTCTCTTCAACATTAGGTCAAAGATTCCTTCAAACTACGTTGGGAAATGATTTCTTTTAGTCAAGATATGAAGGAATTTGATCACTTAGTATACATCTGTGGAAAACTGTGACTCCACCTCCAGAACTACATGTGGCCCTAGTACCTAGTCCTTTGGGATCACCTTTGAATTACATGCCTCCAGGTCTTGAAAGAAAGTAGTTTTTTATCATCAATATTTCAGATTCACAATTCTGGATTGCTATGGGTTCTCAGACACCTATAAACAGTATTGCCACAGGGTTCTACTGATATTCAAATGAAAATGGTTCTGTGGATCTCCAAAGGGAATATAATCCAAATATGGATGACAGTAAAGGAGCTTGTCTAGCAAATCATGCCTATTCAAAGTGACCAGGAAACAGAGAGACACCATAAAATAAATCTGTAAGACAGCAACTCAGATCGATTTACAGGATGATAATTTATGCTGTTACCCACAAAAAGCTATGAACCTTGGTACAAAGTACCTACAGCTACCCATGGCTACCTAAAGGTTAAGCTATCCTGCGGTATACAACCAACAAAGTTCCTATATTCCCTCAGGAGAAAAGACATTTCTACACAGTGTGTCTGCATGCACTGCATTTTGTCATTTTAATGGGATATACGTCCAGAAGTAAGGGAGTAACATGGGCTAACAACAGTAAAAAATGAGTGTCAAGATGTACACGTGGAATGCTGATTCCTGGTATGTACACTTGGAAACATACACATATGTGATGTTCAGAGTATAGTGACTTGCAATGGCATTTTCACATTCCTAGGAGACTCCTGGTGGAAAAGCAGTTGATCTGCCTATAAGGATATTGTCAAGTACTGGAAGAATAAAATCATGAACCAGGCAAACCTGGCTCAAGTGGCTATATTCTGATCACACTTAAGAGGTCTCTAAAATGAAATTGGTTACATATTTTTTCTAACCTCTCTTTTAACAGCTTCCACTGAACTTACTGTTAGTTGCTAGTAATTTAAATTCCAGGGACACGATTATATACACTTTCTTTAAGGTTTTTTTTAACATATGATTTGGTCTGTTAATAATCCAAACAAGAAATCTACCCTTTTCTTAGAGTCATTATTGATTTTTCTGTCCTTATTTGATGTAAATCATATAAGGTAAACCTTTTGAAAGTGCTTGATTGTCTACTTGTAGTCCGCTGGTGAAAACATGCATAAAATCCTACTGCTTATATTTGCTACACTTAATACCAGGAAATTAAATGCCCAGGTTTAAAACTACCACAGACACCTGTTAACATCATATAGCACTGTTATCGCTGCTTTTTTCTTCCTCCGTGGCCACTGTGAATAGGCTTTCTACTGTGTGTCAGCTTCTTCTGTGAGCCTGAATTGAATTCAGGCATAATTAGAAATCACATCAAAACATTATGTTAATTTTCAATTGATTTTATGATTTAATTCTATTAAACTGCAGGCTTGCACAGAAGCTATAAATCCTGTACATGTCTCAGTGTGCTTGACTGCTAAACAGCTTCTGGAAATGGAAGCTGCAACACGTGCTGTAGCTAATTAAAAGACATGTTTTTACTGAAACCAAATTGCTTGTCAGTATGTCAGATAAAAAGTCTATACTTGACACTCAAATGCCAAATAAAGTTGTTTTTTCAGCTAGGTGATAAGTTATGCAGACTAAAAAGCTGGTGCAATGAAAAGCATGAGTCACCCTATAATAATGGGAGAGTAAGAGAGAGAAAACTTGTGCTACCCCGTGGATATTCAAGCCATGAAATCCCTGCCCAGCTCACTCCTTCAGCTCGTCAGCAAGCAGCTCTGTTTCCCCATTTACAGCAAAGGTTACTGTTTTGAGGGGCTAATTATTAAGGACAGATTTATTCCAGAATACAGTGTGATAAGACAGGCTGCATGGGACAGTTATGTGATAAAGAAATACCCTACTCTTGTTTCTCTCTTTCCATCCACGACCAGCAAAGGACCCAAACCACTTACCCATGCTGGAGGCTGACACAGGATGCACTCTCTGTGCACACTGTTATCATTTCCATGAACAGAGACAGAGGATCTCATTCTAAAGTAACTGTGAGAGGAGCTATTGCTTTGAACTCGAAAAAATTATGATTCAAAAAAATTATTAATTCCTGTATTCCAACCTGTTTCACACAGCACTACAATCTTTAACGAAGTATTCAAGCAATGTGCTATCAAGGCCAAAAAAATCCATGCTGTGAAGAGGGATGTTATGTTTGTGGCAGTTATACGTGGTCAGGGCTTGATGTATTGTGAACAGAATTCAATAGTCAATTCAATAGCAATGGAGGATCCCAGCTATCAATGACGTCACCACCCTACAAACGAGGGATTTCACTCCAGCCTTTCCTCTTGGGTTAATATAAAGAATTCAGAAATCTACACATATATAAATAGAAGACCCCTATTTTTCTCAGAATAACTTCAAAAAATTGCCTTAATTTACATGAATTCTCTGCCTAAATGTTGGACTAGATTAATCAATACACTAGGGATATTTTGCGCAATTCTTTTGATTAAAAAGAATGCTAAACATGGTGTCTGTCTGTCATAAGCACTTGTTATTACAGTATATCCCTATTATAATAATGGGGAAGAAGTAAGGACATGAAGAGAAAAGATACTGAGGAGAGCAGAGCACTTTTTATATTCAGATATTCAGAGGACTTTGTAGAAAAGCTTGGGTAACTCATATTAATTTCAATGGAAACCAGGCACCAAGGAGCACACCAAGTCTAAGAGAATTGTAAACCAGAAGGTCTATGATGTACCAAGGATTAAAGAGCCAACCTGTCTCTCCTGAGCTCCACATTCATACACCAAACACTGGACTATTTTTTAGCTTTCCTAGTTAAGCTCCATTCGTGATTCCTTCAGTCAGAGTGCTAAAGCCAACTGGCCAGACTGACCTACTGGCCAACGTTCATTGCCTCCTTTCTATTTCAGCTCAAGCACGTCAGCCTTAATAACTCCTGTTACCTTGTGTTCGGACAGGATCTGACATAGGGCTGGGATCACTCAGGCCTTGCGCATTGATGGCTCGCACCATGAACAGGTAGATGGTATTGGGGCGCAGTCCTCTCACGGTGTAGAGGGTGGTCTTCACGTGGTTAGCCACTGTTTGCCAACTGTTGCTCACAGACTGGCTGCAATGAGAAGAGGATCGAAGATTAGAGACTAATGCAAGAGAAAAATACAGGAGTGAAAGGATCTACTTTTGTAACCCTGTGTCAAGTCTAAGTAAAAAGCAGTAAAAGCAGGGTAAAAATAAAAATATTTGTTTCGGGTTTAAAATAAAAAAATCCCACAGCTGTCAAAACTATTTCTCCTTAAAACAGAAGGAAAAGCTTTTGCTATCACTCTAAAACAAGTTCCTGCAAAAGGAAAGTGTGGAAAGCTGTAAAGTAAATCTGAATGCTAAATAGGCCACTCTTGAACAGAAACCTTAGAAAAAAAAATCCTGTTAAAAGAATACCTTTCCATACTGCTCAGTAAATTATGTCAGTAAATTGTCATTGGAAGAAAAGTATTCTCCTTGAACTAAATTAATACTCCACGTTACAAAAACAAAGTCTGAAAGCAGGCTTGTAAATGAAGGAAAGCATATGAATATTTTTTCTCTCACTACATTTTTCATTGGATGTTATTATAATTAGATTAAAATCCACTGCATGAAGAGATGTGAAGTGTGATTGTTAAAACAGCTTTAATGAAAATGCCTGCCTTTTGTTAAAGCTATTGATGGGATGCCGTTAAAGCTTATCTAGGAGGAAATATCACAAAAGTTTAAAGAGAAAATTTTATTTTATTGTGCTTTGTTGTATAGCATTGAGAAAAAAAATCCTTAAATCTATTAAAAGGGAAAAGAAAATGGAAAGCTACATGTTATTCCAATTGTTTCATTCATGTAATGCGTAAAGGCCAGTACAAGTTCCAGCAGTCTGCACATACAGCAATGGCCTTTGCATGTTAACTTGGCAGGATAAAGCATTATCACTATAACCCCTCACATCTGCAGGCATATGATTTTGACAAATTCTTCCACGAATTTTAATTAAAAGATGAACTAAATTATTTTTCACTTGTTGCACATCTTGATTAAGGTTTAAGATTTAAACATTTAAGAATGTGCACATTTTTAAGCTGAAGTGTATTTTCCTGATCCATGTGAGAGGTATGGCCCAAGCTTAAACAAACTCGTTGAACTGGGGCGCAGGAGTTCTTTCCTACCACGTATTAAGTGCTGCTGTGTGGAAAGGAGCAGCTGGATTCTCTTCAGCCTCAAGCTGCTGGATGAAATCCTAAATTACCAACGCTAGCCTTTTCAGTTAAAAGTTTTAATCTCGAGATAACACTGGCCTAAACGATCTGACCTGCAGCATTCCCCCAGGAGACCCTCAGTGATGATCAATGCTAATGGAAAAGTAACAAATAATGACTGCATTGTCCTGTTATATTCCTGTTGACGTGAAGAAATAGTTAGATGGGGATAAATTGGGAAAAAAAAATCAATTTCAAAAATAAGAATCAATGCCTGCCACAGGAGTTGATTCTTTTAATGAACTTCTAATGATAGGTGCAGAGTCCAAAAGAACACCACAACACCAGGAGAACAGCTGGTACCCAGGTTTAAGCAAAATTAGAATGGAAGATTAAAAGTGGGATAATTGACATACCTAAAAGCCTCAATGATATATGCACTGGCTGGTAGGCTTCCAGGGGTCCCTGGCTGCCAGGACAGGGTGACACTGTTCTTAGTAACATCAGTGACCTGAGGTTTGGATGGTGGCCCAGGGAGGTCATTTATATCGTAGCTCTTGCTGACTGTTGCTCCACCAGATTCTGTAAGGGGTAAACACAAAACAATTACTTCTTATACTTGGTTGTGTAAATTCGATCTAAGTAGAAGATTAAAAAGAAAAACATGCCAAACATCTGCAAAATCAGCATAACCGATGTTCTTTATCTGTAAAGAACTAAGTCAACAATTGCATCACCGTGTAAACTTTTGGATTAGGAGCTATCATTCTTTAGGTACATACTGAAAGAAAAAACATGCAAAACTCAAAAGATTATATATAAATATATATATTTTTAAAAAAAAAGAAGAAAAGAAAGTAAACAAAAAAAGCCCAGCTTTGCTGAAATTTACATAAAATATCAAAACCTCAGTTACTAGAAGGCTGAGGAAGTTCCTATATCCAGATCAACTGCAGCATTCACAGAAAGCACACTGGACTAGGCTAGGACTCTGTGTAGGTCCAATACTTTTCCTGCCCAAGCTAATTACTGGATGACTCCACAGTTAGTAACACTCCTGTTTGGAAGAGCTGTCGCATAGTGCTGCCACTGGAGACAAATACCAACTTTTGTCATGTCAACAGGCATTTAAAGATAGTAGCAATGAAATGCAAGGTGTGTGAAGGAATCTAGCCTTCCCACCTAAAACTTCTCCATCTCAATCCCAGAATTTCTAGAATGGATTATTTGGCTCAGACTGCTCTAATATACCCTGCACTGTCATTTGGTGACAACTGAAAAGCAGCCCCTGGACATTGCTTACCTGTCACCTCCAGCACAGCGCTCCAAGATGTTTCCCCACTGGAACTCGTAGCAACGCAAGTGTAAGTCCCAGTATCGGACAGCTAGACATAAAAAACAGTTAAGGGCAGGTTTAACTACCTTTTAGAATCATCTGACACAGTTTATTCTCATTTTTTTTTCCCAAATGTTTCTTGGTAAGAAGGACTTAGCCTACATTTTACACCAGACTAGAGGGCACTGAACATTTTCAAACAATCATTTAGTGGTGGCTTACTTTTAGAAAACTATAATAAGATTACTTGCTTCTAATCCTTTCTTAATTCTAATTTTCATATTGTTAATAGTACCAGTAGAGCATGTAAGTGCTACAGAATGGATGTTTTAGTGTCAACCTTTTTATTGCTTACAACAAACGTAGTTGAAATCAGGTAACAATATACCAACACTGACTTCTTAGAGGATAAAATCTCACCGTCCATTGTCCCATGATGACCCAGAGATACAGTTCCCAGTGTAACAGGGAGGCTCTTACATCACCTTAGACTCTTATGACAGATGAAGTAATTTCTACACAGGCCACCACACATACAAATCCTGCTGCTGAGACTTAACAGTCGTTCTCCCCACACAGACAGTCCTCCAAGCCCTTTTCCTACATCACACTTACCTTTCTTCTCTTTCACGTGGGATTTTATTTCAGGCTTGCAATGCACTTTGGTAGCAAAAAAAATACGCATTTGTATAAAACTGTTGTGATTTCCTTTTTTTTTTTTTTTTTTGAGGAAACGATTTTGAATTATATTGTCAATTTTAATGTCATTGCTGTATTGTTTTACTGGAAAATTTGCTGAGTGTTTTGGTATTCCTTACTCAAATTTAAAGTAAAGATTTCTGAGACAGGAACTAGTGGTGACTACAGAGATGGGTGGAAAACAGTAACTTTACAAAGCACAAAATACACAGAGGAGCCCTCCTACCACTATCTATAAATCATGATAATCTGGAGATGGAAGCAGAAGAGAGAGAGAGTGCTGACTCTATTGATAAAAAAGGAATATATTCACCATCAGATGACTTGATGGAAATAGGACTGCATCTGAGAAGCTTTATTGGACTCAAAGGAATGGTGATGGGTGTTCTGCTAAATGCAGATTGGCACTATAGCAAAAGTGCTTATACCTCACTCTTCAAGAAGAATGTCAAGGAAAATAAGTAACATGCTCTTTAGATTACTTGTTGATATACAATTTAACTGATTTTTAACTTGATCATGTTTTAATTTTGTTGGTATTTTCCTCGGATACACTGGACTGCAGCATGCCATTCTTAGGGGCAGGAAGCAACTGATTAATGCCAGTTCAACAGTCTGAATAAGCACAACTTGCATTTTAGGAGGTGCTTTTGCCACGAAATACAAGCAATAATTAAAGCCCTCTAACAATGCCTCAGAGACTCAAAATATAGAGGTACTGCTAACAAAATGAGAAAGACTTGAGACAGATTTTCCAGAGAGCGCCTTATTGCATTCTGAAGTAGTGTTTTATTTTGCTTCTTCTGAGCTGTTATTAAATATATAATTCTTCATTATGTGATAATGGAGAATATTTCTCAAGGCTATGGTTCTCAGCTTCATTTGTGCGCTACCGTGACGGATGGTGTATGGCACACTCAATGAAGTATGTGGTATACGCAGCAGAGAAGCTCGCAGAAGGCAAACTCAACACATAAAGCAAGCTGGAGATACGCTGCCTCTTGCAAGTTATGGTGAATTATCTATCTTCCAGACTGTGGGTGGATTAGATACAGACATAGTGTATTGATAATTCCATTATTTTTACTTTTTTGTGTGTGTGTGCTACAGAAAAAAACAACAAGGGAGGTGAATAGAAAATCTTTGCTATTCAGTAAAATAAAGAGTTTTCTTCCTTAGTTAATGCAGGTGTCTAAATCCAGTGTGGTGCACTTCTACGGAGCAGAAGGGAGTTTTCCATCAGTGTTGACCTGTCTGAAAGGGTACTGAGTGAGTGACATATGTGAGTTTTCAGTTGATTTCCTCAGAGCCACCAGGAAGACTGGCTTATCAGAAAAATCTCCAGGTTCATGGTTATGACTGTGGCCCAACCCTCACTGTGAATGCTGCAGAGTCCTGAACAATTTGATTTCCACACAGAAAGTTACACAGCAGAAGAGGATGGTCTCAATGGTTTAAATAGCACTTGCTCATCTGTACCCGTATCTTGACATCTTTTATGATTGCAATAGCGAATCTTATTTGTGAGGGGAGGAGAAAGCTGAGGACATGTGGGTGATAAATATTAATTTGCCTTGACCTTGGGTATGTAAGTGTACTTGGATATATTTCATGGTCATTTTTTTACTTAGGAAGTGTTGCTAGTACTTGCCTAGATAGACATGAAAGAAAAGTTAAATAGTCCAGATTTAAATCTATATTTCATTCATAAAAATTGTAAGGTATGGGAGAAATCTGTTTTTTATGGTTGTGTGTGTTTTTAGTCCTTAAATCTGAGTAAAACAGCGCACATTAGTGCAATGGAGGGGTTTATAAAAAATGTCTTTCTGAGCCTTTAAGGAAAATTGGTTACCAGTCAATGAGCCACTTAAGGATCAATAAAAGCTTCATGTCTTTCAAAACCACACTCACTGCTAATACTGTTTTCTTCTCCCCTTGCAAGCAATTTTTTTTCATTTCGTTTACAGACCTTGCGCCTCTAACAGTGAGATTAATGCGCTGGCACGACTCAGAACCAATTTCATTGTTTGCATAGCTGCATGCAGACAGGTATCCCAGGAGCTTCTGCCTCATGAACACTCCACAGAAGCCCATCATCGATGCCTGAAAGTTTGTTTGAAATCACTAAGCTTCCACCTTTAATTGCTGCTTTCTAACACTACTGGGGAATCTTGACTATTCAAGCGCACTCTTTAATCCAGCTCTACAGGAAAAATGCATTAACCTTCATGGCCTAAACCTGCCTTCAGCCCAGGGAGGAAGGATAAATTGTTTACTCAAAGAAAGCTAGCATAAATTTTTTAATAAATTCCATTTTGTTCCAAGGAAGTTAACGATTCATCTGCGATCACTGATGAGATGGTATCAGAAAACAAAGCTGCACTTTATGTCTTGTCCTCGGTAGCTATGTTTGTTGACATTTTTTTGGATTGCAAAGCTAAGTGCAGAAATTACTGCTGATGAAATTAAAAGCTTTCTGACATTGTCTTTTAAGTTCCTGGCAAATAATTACATTTACCTTACTATTTTTCCGTATACACACTTGTCCACAGACACAAAAACAACTACACATTTTTATCTTTGAACAGGGAAAAAATTAAAAGCCTAAACAAAGAATAGTGATGCAATGTTTCTCAACAAAATCTGACATTATACTGTTTGGAATATTCTAAGGTTTCCTTGTACTTTTAAGAAATTTTATTATCTCATGTCAAAATTCAAATATTAAGATAGGCGTTTGTTTTGAATAGAAATCCCCTGCACATGACTGCAGGTACGTTACGGTATTAGTTGTCTCCTCCCATCTGCAGCCTCATGGAACATCTCCAGCAAGCGTAACATTGGAATAAATCAGCCAGCTCAGGACTGACAAGACTCAGTGATGGAGAAAGTGGATGTCCAAACCCTGATGAACTCCAGAATCACTTGCTAGCAAAAGAGCTCCTTGGGAAACTGTGATCAGGTTTTGAAAACAAACTGCTCTAAGTTTTAACAGAGACAACAGGCCAACAGCTTCATAGGAAGACCAACTGAAAAGATAAGGAAAGATAAGGAAGTCTTGTCCTTTTATATGTCTATCCATCCCCAACTCATGTGTTTTATTGTAACATATGTAAGATTTTAAATATCAATTCTATTTTTAGGGAATTCTCACAGAAATATCTGGTGCTAGCTCGGCTTTTCTCCTCATAATGTCAAAGAATGAAATAGGGTGTGGACTTGGTGAGAATTTCATAGTGAAAGAGACAATAGTGACAAGAGACAGCAGAGCTGCTTGAGACACACACTGACAGCCCGAGACTAGTCCTGTACCACTTGTAGAACTTGTTTTGTTATTGCTACTCACCCGCAGAGTTTTAATCTGAAGAGTCCCCTGGTCCTGTATGGATGTTCGAGGGTCTCTGCCCAGGAAGGTGAACCCCTCTTTCAACCAGCTGATGACAGGAAGGGGGTCGCCGGTGGCCTTGCACTTCAGCAGAGCTGTCCCATCCACTGCCAGCGTCTGATTGACCGGTCCCTGGAGGATGATGGGTGGGGGCCTGTCTGTCAAGACTAAACAGGGACACACGTGTTGGCACCCACACCTTTAACCAGCCTCTGCTGCACTCAGCCCTTTACAAATTCTAACAGACTGGTTTCAGTCAGCCTTAAAAACGTGATTTCTGGCAGACCCACAGATACGTGTTAACAATTAACTGGTATATTTGAAAAGTCTTTTTGTAAGAGTTTTATTTCACCACTGTGAGATAACACCTCGATATATAAACTTCTGCCAGCAAAGATTATCAGACTCATTTGATTAAGACAGGATGAAAATTAAGACCTTGATCCAGAAAAGAACCGAGGTACATCTCTTAATTCTTCCAATTTAGGAAAGCACTTAAAGCACACGTTTAATGTCACATCAAAATGTGTGTAATTGCTTACCTGACTTAGGGCCAAAAAGCAAAAATCTGTTAAAGTTCAAAGTGAAACACCACAGTCGTTCTAGCGTGGGTACCAACCACATCCCCCATTCACCCTCAACTTGCTAGTTTTCATCAGCAAAAGTATCTAATAATAATAAAATATTTTCATAATCTGAGTGATCTAAATGACTGTAACACTCTTGCCATTGGAGAAAAATTCAAACTCCATCAAGCCACTTAACAGCTTACTTACCAAATAATTTCACCACCTTTTAAAGCCATGAGCTCTCTTAATTTTTTTTGTGCTAATAATTTACATTTGCATGCTTGAAATACTGCTTAAAGGACCACGTGCATGGCTGCATATAAACCTCACTCCATTACCAGTAAGATATCGTGAAGTTGAGGTAAAATGCTCATGTTTGCTTTTCTCGAAAGACCAATTTTTCATAAATAATTCTGCTGTTGAACCTATTCTCTGAGCCATCTGCTAAGCAGCAAAATAGAACTGTCTGTTTCTAAAGAATGTGTTTATACAAAATGAATGTGAAATACTAGAATATAAACAAGGCTATGATTCTTGGATAAAATCAGTATAACAGAAACGAGAATTCATTTTTATATATTGACCAGCCACATTGCTGCTGTTTTAAATCTCTGAACAACTAAACAATTATACGATTTGTATTAAACAGTGTAAGAGGCAGGACCAGGTCCTAGACCATGGTAGGTTAGCCTGTCTCCACTGATGTCAATTGTGTTTGAATCATTTATTCTCACTGAGAATCTGGTTCATTAGAGTCCATACACATCACCTGACTCTAACAATGAAGTGAAAATAAATTATTGTGAAGCAATATGCTTTCTGTTGTATTTGAGCTGCTTGAGATGCGAATCTCTGGAACCTTCAACAGATCCAAAGTGTTTTCATTACACATATGGACGTGTTAGTGGTATATTTCATACCTAAAATAATTGTTTCTGAAATAGTAATGTTGCAAAAATACTACCTACCTTCTTTGGTTAACAAGATAAAGAAAGGACAGAATCATTAGTATCACCTTAGACTGTGAGCTGATCACATTTATTGAAATTGAAACTGAAAATGAAAAGCCAATGCAGTTTGTTTATTGACATCAGAAGGTGAAACCTATTTTGGAAATTCTGAAGTATCACCCACTGAATGCAGAGATTGGACAGAAAATACTATATTGCAAGCGAAGAGAAAAATGTAATGCATTTTCACTTTGCTATGAAATTTTTGATCTCAATAAGGTTCCTTCTGACCACACAGTTCAGCCATTTGGTGCAATAAAAATTGATCTCAGCTCATACGCACTATTGGTATAGCTGCAGCACGAGTATATTCAAATGAACACTTCGCTGGGTAAGTTTTCCTTTAGATTCAATGTAAACCAGCAAATCAGTTTTCTAGGTAGTTAAAAATGAAAGGAAAGGAATTACTGAAGTTGCTAACTATTCCACTGCAGTTAGTGGCGGCACCTCATTGCCTTTCATCTGTGCAGCAATGTAGGCACTTGCAAAACCTACTGCATTACAGATATTGTTCTTTGGCATGTAATTATTTTTTTTACAGCCCAAATGAGGAGCTCATAACCCTTTAAATAGCTCTGATCAATAGTGTAATTGAAAGTCTCCCTGCCAGAAGGAATCTTCATTTTCAAGGGTGTTATGGGTGAAAGACCACTACAGGTTTCCATGACACTAAGGTTAAAGGTTAAATGAACACTTAGGGTTTCCACTGATCTGTGAACGACTGTATTGTCTCCACAACTATGACTAGTAAATCTTCTCTCAAACGTATAGATATGTTTCTGTTCCTATAACGTAGGTCTCCTGTACAAGGATTCAAAACTCAGTTAGCAGCTTACAAAGATATCTCATAAACATTCTGAAGAACAGAGGGATCATGAAAAATAGCCACAAAAAGGTTGCGGGTTTTGTTAGTTTCTTTCACAACATTTAAATTTTTAATTTAAATTTTACATTGTTTTCTCCTAGCAGGAAACTTTTATATCCATTTTAAGAAACATTTTGGGTGGCTAAAATATATTTGCATAGTAAAAGAGAAGTTGATCTTAAAGCTAATTAAGAAAATGTTTTTGAAACTATTTGTCACCAACTATATATTCACATATTCTGGTAATGGAAAAATTATCAGAATCCTTTTGTGATAAAATGTAGCTTGAATTTTGAGCAGAATATTAGAACAGACCAAATTGTATTTGTTGATGAACAGTTTATTCACTACAAATGCGATTTGGATCAAGAGAAACCATGTTTAAATTTGGGTGGAATTTGGTCAAATTACAACATGAAATTAAAATAAGAGAATGACAAAATAAAATCTTCACTTTGTCATTTCCAAAAATCACCATTTCAGAAGTTTTCCTGGTGAATTAATGGGGAAAATCAGACACAAGTCATGGAATTCTGGTGGTGAACACTGGCACGACAGGGCAGGGTGCCCTCCTGGGAGGCGAAAGGCAGAGACCAGCCCTTCCTCTGTGTTTTTTGTGAAGGAGCTTTGCAGGAGGCTGTGGTGTTGTTGTTGTTGTGGATCACTCCTGTTGGAAACTGTCACACTTGCTATAAAACATGCAACACACATTTGATCAGAGACAGGAATCATGGTGGCCAGCTTTGCAAATGAGCGAGCTGTGAGTGATATTAAACTCTTACAGGAGGATTTGAGAGAGATGTATCCCAGAATATTCAATAGACCTACAGCCAAAAAACTGCAGAGGACTTTGGGAAAAACGCCTTAAGTGTCTATTCCAAACAGTGGAGAAGGAGCTGCTGAGGGACAGGGTACGCTGCCAACTCCTCCTTTTTTTCCTTCCCCCCCTCCCATCTGTTCTTAATTCTCCCTATAGGTCCAGCCTTTTGCTTTCATTAAAAAACACAGAAATGTGATCTTTTTAATTAATTAAATACCCTAAAACATTTCATCTTGTGTTGCTATCCACTGGGGGAGGTAAAGCTTGCTCTTCCATTCCAACACTCATCCTAAAATGTAACTGCTGGGTAAACAAGCATTGGAAGGTTGATCCTACAGTTGAGCATGCAGTGGTTGAATTTTATTAATAAATATAAATAATGACTAAATTAGGAGAAACTGAGATCTTCTCCAAAATACTCTCTGCCCGATGGATAAATTTATGGAATAAATGACTAACTGTAAACTCTTTTTTTTGTCACGAGTGCATAGTCAGATGGAAGCATTTGGTTTATTTGCATGATCTGTCATTTTAAGACTGTGAGCTGCATATTTGCTTCTTGAGCTTGAAAGGATTACTAAGACTGTCTCAATTTTAAAAATTATTTTGCTTTTCCAGATGTGTGTCAGACAGTGGATTATATGATAGCATTTCAAGAAACTACAAGATTTGAATTTCAAATACACTGAAGGCTCTTAGCACAGTCCATAATCAGCAAAATTATCACTCAACTCAGCACATTTCATCACAGCTAGTAATCTCTTCTCATGTGAACACTTGAGTTAAAAATATTTCCAGTAAAGACTTGTAAGTGCAAAAATGTAACAACTGAAACACTGCTATATATGGTATAATTAAGCACTTGTTTTTCTGCACATGACATATGTTTTCATTCTGTATTGGAACTTCAATTGGATCTAAATTACTCTGGATCAAACAAAAATGTGTTCAAAATGAAAAAGATGGCTCGCCACTATTATTAAATCATTAACCAAACAGAAAAATTCTGGGCTATGAAGTAAAACTGAAATCACCAGCCAAAAACTAGAACACTAAGGCTTAAGTATATAGCTAGCATGCACAGTGTTTATCTTTTGTTATATTTTTTTAAACCATTAAATTAGATTTCCCTACTGATAAAAATCATTAGCTTCCTTAACTTCTGCTCAGCATCAAGCAAAACAGATTATTTAGACATTTATGGTTAACTTCCTAATGGAAAGCAATTAAAAAAAGATCTGTGATCTAATGGCACCTTTATTTATATAATCTTAGTTCCACAATATTGTTCTGGCACTTTTCTCCTGACCTCACCTGCCCTTTGACTCAAGGATGAAATGGTGTTTCTATGAAGCAACCTTGTATTATATTTCCTAAGGATGATGCTGAGAGTGGGTTCTGGAAAGCATTTGAAGAAGGCAGGCCTGGCACTCCTGGAGCAGGAGAGCCACCAGCCAACACTTTCTCTAGCCATGCAGAATGGACACCGCCTTTAATCAGAATTAACTGTAGTTGAGTTTGCATTTTAGCAGGGACACCTACGTGAGCTTTCTGTTGACTTGTTAAATAAACTAATGAAAATTCCAAAGAAGTCATTAGGATTTATTATTTCCCCTCCACACACACACAAGAAATAGATAAAGCTGGACCACAGGCCTTGTCTGTCCAAAGGAAGAATTTCTCATCACCAATATCCTTGAACCTGATTTGATCCTCTCGCCCCTGTTGCAGTAAATCTGTACAGCCTCAGCAGGTGCAACCATTAACAGCTCAATGTCCTTTCAGCCCATGTTTGTGTGTTCCATTTATTCCCATCACAGTCCTGGCACTGAATCAGGCAGCGCTATGGACAGATATTAAAAAATACTGCCTTTCCATTAATTTTAAATGACCTTTTAATCTACATTCAAATTTGAATTGAATGAAAATGCATCATTTTGTCATAGACCACGAGAGAAAGGACTTAAAGAGACCGCAGAGTGAAGGTTAGCCTTTACTCTCCAGAAACTGCTCTACAGAAAAATAATGTGCTTGTAAAGATGCAAGGATAAGGCAGAAATTATCTTCCCTTGTCATAAAAATATAGACAGTTTTTGGAAAACAAAGAAAAGGCATCAAATTAATGCTCAAACCTCTATAACATGAGCCTGAACCTCTCTACCTGTCACTTGTGATGAATATGCTCTTGTGAGAAGCCAGATTATTCAGAATCAGACATCTTTTCAAACTTTCGTGGTGCAGGCAGGTCTCTAAGGGAACAGTAAAAGTAGACCTCTGCATATAACAACAGTTTTAATGGCAAAAATTCATCACAGTCTGTCAGGAGATATTTAATGAGTCAGTTAAGATAAGGAATAATGATGCTGGGGAAGGCAACCATCTCCTGGTATAAGAGGAATTCTGTTTTCTTCACCAACATTAAAGGATGCAAACTGCCTTCTATCCACAACGGGATGACGAGGGATAGCAACAGGATTCCTGACATATAGGAAGGATTCATGCTTGTAGATGGAGTAAGGCAAGAGAACTTTCAAACCCAAAATTTTGAAACAGAAAGCATCAAGACAGATCATCTAGTCCTTTTATTTTCCTTTCCTGAAAACCCTACCTGCATATTTACATGTCTGTTTTCACATCTAACCTTACTGAGAAATTCTTGGAACACAGCTCTGAGGTAAGGAAATCTCCTGGTGCCTTATTGCCACAGGGACTAAAGAGCTAATGTTGTAGCTGTTCTAAACCAAAGGGACTCCAGTAAGTTCAAGTCAATTTTGTTGATTTAATTGAGCTAAGGGCACAACCCCAAACCAGCTGCCTAAGACAACACTAAAGCCTGGGACTGCGGTGGGAACCGAGCCTGATTTTTCTGCACCCCAGTTCATTGCTTTAACCACAAACCTATTAATTCTTCACAATATCTTTTGCAGTTCTGTCTTAGCTCTAGTGAATTGAGAAGCTTGCTTTCTCACCAACTTTATTCTGAGCTGATTTGGATCTTGTTTGAATTATTAAGGAACCTCCAAAAAGCAAGCAAAAGGCAAACTAGACTTCAATGCCTTTTTGATAACACAGAGAATTGCAGAGACCCTTTTTTCATTGTATTTTCTGTAGAAACTTGTCTGTTTACTTGTATGAATTATGTATATCATATGCCTTTACTTACACCACTTTTAAAATACTTTTGACAAGAAAAAAACAATAGGAATTTCTATAGCTCACCATCAGTAACCTCCAGCTGAGCCTTTGCTAAAATGCTTCCAGCAACCGTCAGGGCTTGACAAATGTAGTAGCCTGCATCAGAGCGCTGAATGTTGGTAATGGTGAGGTCCCCGGTTGGTGACACCGAGTATCTGCTGTTGGGCTGGAGAGGCTGGTTCGGGAACAGTAGATTCTGCAAAGACAATTCATCTCACATCAGTTCAAAACACAAAAGCACCACTTTTCCCTCAGCTGGAAAGACAATGACTTTTCCTTAAAAGTGCTATATATAAACGAGAAGAAAGAGCGTGGTTGTGACTTTATGAACACACAGAGCTCGCTTTCCCTGCCTTGGGCAACACGCAGTAGATATTAGAACCAGCCCTTTGACAACACACAGCGGCACACTCCGGCTGGGGGTCTAGGCGAGGAGAAATCTTCCAACAATCGCACTTAATTGACTTGTGTTTGTGACACATTCATCTTCATTCTGAATTTAATTGTGATAATATACTTAGCTGGCTGTCAAACCAGGAGGATACAATACTACAGTAAACATTAGAAAACTAGCAGAAAGAATTGAGTCTGGGAGGCTTGAGGGAGCACAGCACAGTGCTATTGTTTGGCATGTGTTCTGGGCAAAGGAGAAAGTAAGAGTGTGGTACAGAAGGAAAGCCGGGAGGAAGATACAAACAGGTCACAAAGCAGGAGAAGCTGGCAGAGCAGGAGATCTTAAAGGAGAAGTAAAAGGAAATCAAAACTGAGATATAGCAAAGGAGAAAAGCAGCACGGAGCCTTGGGGGTGAAGAGAAAGGGTATCAATCTGATGTGGGAAACATCAGAGAGAAAAAATAATTTTGTGTAGGATGAGACATCAGTAAGCACAAAACAAGGAGATTAGCTTTTGCCTTTGGGCTGGATTGGAGAAAAGAGAGATGTCAATAAGAATAACTGGAACGGATGTAGCAGCCATTGCACACGATGAAGGACTGAATGAATCAATAATACAGAAAAGGACGGAGAAGCTTTTAGTGATGAGGGCTGTGTTTTCAAGGGAAAAGTTACACCGCCTGGTACTGCTCCTGATGTGAATGAAAAAGAACAGGAAAAGGGAGGCAATGGGAATAGAAAGGTCAGCAGCATTGCCCAATGAGACAGAAAGGGGAATAGATTAAACAATAATTAAACAATATTAATTCTAGTCTGGCTTTTATGTCAATACAAAACGCCTCTCTGAAAAACAGAATTGTTTGTATCAGGAACATCCCAACACACTGTTCCCATGCTGTGATAAGCTTTCAGTCGTTACTGCAGCTCTGTATGCTCTGATTTCTCATGACGACTTCCTAGTTACTTTTAAGCTCGTCTCGATGAGCTAAAAAGAAAATCTAAAAGTACAGAGAGTATTAAATGAGTTTTCTGTAGATCTGCTTCTTCTGCAGCAGACCTCAATGGTTTACAAAAATGATTTGGAACTGACAAGCAACAAACTTGGATTTTAAAAAAATTCTGCTTTGAAGTGAAACTCACACCTTTACCTCTGGTTTTGGAATAAAAGGAGAGAGAGTTATACTTTAAATAAGACCTGACACTCCAGGTATCCTTATAATTGTATTAACGTACCAGGCTACTTGTCACCCTAGGGCGAGTCTTTCCCCTTACCCCCTTTCAATGTCAATGTTCAATAAATTTTTCACAGCAAATTTTTCCTCAAAAATCAATACGCACCCAGTAAACATGTCAGATCCAATAAGAAAAAAAGTGTGAAAATTCTGAAACAATTTCAGGCTACAGGGCTAAGTGGGACTCGAAGAATTGCTGGTTTCTGAATTGTCTTGGAATTTTCAGAATAACCTCTGCCTGGCACAGACACCTACTGAATGAGGGTATTACCAGAACTCCACTAGATTTTACGAGAAAGCAGAGAATTTCGATAGGGCTGAGCCTGACTCCATTTATCACTCAGTATTCAAAGTATAAAAAGAAACACAACGTCAAAGACAGGGCAAGGATCAAGCTACTAATTCTTAAGAGGAAAAAAGATTCAGAATACTCTTAATTACTGCACTGGAAAGGGGAGGCTACTCTTCTTTTTATCTTCAGCATGAGCTTATCTGTTCCTGAGAGGTACCACATCCCAGTGAATATTCCACACTTCAGGAGGAGCTCATCAGTCTCATGACTCCTCCCTTCAAAGATCAGATAACTATGAATTCTAACTTGTCCTGAACTACAGCATAACCCCCTTTTTACAATTGTCTTTACAATTTAACTGATTTTAATTTGCTGTCAGGTTGCTCATCTGGGTGGCATGCTGGGTTGCAAAGACAGACCAGAGTCATCCCTGATGTAAAACCACTGAATTTATCTCAAGGAAGAATTTAATCCAGAGAGTCTAAAGGTCACACATGCCCTGCCCTGCTGCACGTCATTGGCGGGCGGCTGTTCGGCTCTGGGGAAGAAGCTACTGAGTACAAAGGACCAGCTGTTTGTGCACAAGTTGGCACAAAAAATGACTCAGGAGGGAACAGCTCCCCTCCCTTCCAGCTGGTTGTGCTCAGAAGCACAGGATGGAGAAATGGATTCACAATGACAAATGCCCCACAGTTACTGGAGTGGGCTAACGTGGCTACATAACATGACTGCGAACACCAGCAGTGGTGCTGCAAACGGTTCCTTGGGTAAGAGGAGAGGCAAGCATTGTAAAGCCAAGCAACAACCTCTAGCAGGGCACACACAAAGGTGTAATGTCACGTGTGTTCAGTGGACAACGCCCAAAACACCATCTTTCAGATTTGTATGGTGAGATACAGCATATGGAAACTCACCTGCTCTATGGCCTCTCACTGCTGCACATTGGGACAGCACCACTAACCTGTGTTGCTTCACTGATGCTCAGTTAAGATTAACACGAGGGTGTAGTGAATCACATGGAGCTATGTTTCAAGGTTTGATTATAAACCATGTAGGTATCCATTTTTGTGTTGCATTTATTTGCCAAAAAAGACCATTCTAACCCTCAGGGATCTGGTTCTCAATATGGTAATTAATTTTCCGGGTTTGTAATTAAACAGCTTCAACATGGTACAATCAGTAGGTAATAACATTCAATTAAAGACACAAGATGCATTTTCACCTTAAAATGTTTTTACCCTTGAAGTGATACCAATGGAAGAGGATAAAATAGAGTATTAACACTTTTCAATTACGCTAAATGACTTTAATCCTGCAAATGATGTCCTACTTTAATTAGAAGCTCTTCTCTTTATTACAGCATGATGGATGTCCACTTTATTAGATTCAAGTGTGACACTATAAGCTCACTTTACATAAACATTACCATGTTATTAAAATGCTCTACAAGGAAAGGTTTTAAAATGTTTGCTGGCACATCAGTACTTCCTCCTTTAATTTCAATATGCTACTCTACTTTCCCATTGGAACAATTTTCACCTTAGTGAGACAACACTGTACTTTTCCAGGATGTGATCTGTGGAGGCTAGATTTAAAGTTCTCCAAATAACACAGTGAAAGAAACACACTTAAGATAAAGCTAATGCTCAAACAAGCTTACACTCATAAAGTAATAGTGTTGTATCTCTGTAAGCCACAAATGCAACAGCGCACAACATGCGGTCAGCCTTGGTCCTGCCGTTCTGGACCAGTTATCTGACCTTGTGAGAAGATGGAGCAGAAGCAGGCAGGGCAGAGCAGGAGATCTGCAGTTCAGTTCCTGTCTCATGTTTTAATTGAGTTGGTTCACACAATGCCTCCAGATGAGACAAAGGGCACATCTGTACTGCACAGCACGGTGGGGATACTGGAGTTAACTTACATATGGGAGAAACTGGCACAGGGCTCTGAAAAGGTTGATTTAGCCAGTGGAGAAGAGCACATAGTGTAGATACATGGACAAATGTAGCTGTGAGGGGTTTCATCAGGGAGCTGCAGAAGACACTGTCTGTTCTTGGGCAGCCTTTTGCCCCTTTCACTCTTTTCTCCGGTGCAAAAGAGAACATGGCACATAGTTTACAGCATTCAAATTAAACATACTAACCTGAACCACATATTGAGAGTGAGGAGGACTGACTTGGGCCATAACATCGTGCCAATACAGCAACAGCAGTAAAAAAATGTTATGGCATGACATTCAAATATTAAGTTATAGAAGTTGGTATTGGCTGATAGCAACACTGCTATAGAAGTTAATATGGGCTGATAGCAACATTGACTGCTACATCGGAAATTTTGCTTTCAAAAAATGACAGTAAGGATGGGGGAAATATTTCCAAAACCAGATTTAGAAATTTCCTGAGACAATTTTACTGCAGAAAGCATCTGCGTGTTCCAAACCTATGTGTGCAGTATGAGAATATGCCCATGCAAATCAGCCCGCTAGATATAGATCTGCCTGATCATGTCTAGACAGGTGGTGAACTGTAATTACCGACTCTGATCAGCTGAAAATTGAGTCATATCTTTTTAATCTACTATGTTTGTCTCACCCACCTGTTTGTTGAGGGTTTCAGATGTTTAAGATATGTACTGTTGCTTTCTTTGTGTTTATACAGCACCTAGCACAAAAGTTTCATGGACTTAAATTGCCTTTGAGTTCTTTACACTATTAAAATTTTAAAAAAACAGCAACAAAAATGTCAGTAAAGAATAGTGATAGTTTAAAGGACAAATTCTTGTGAAAGATTAAAAGAACCTGCAAAAGATAATATAAATAATTTTCTTAAAAATGTAAGAATATAACTATTTAGAAAGGCTTGAAAGACTAACAGCATGCTTATAACTTACCTGGCTTCCTTCTTTTTGCCAGAAAACAGCTGGCTGGGGATTTCCTTTAGTTTCACAAGGAAACGTCACTGTTCGACCCTGGGCTACAATCTGGTCTCGTGGTCTCACCACAAACTGGGGAGGAGCTACAATGTAAGAAAAAACATGGTGTAAATGTGGGATATTTTGCACGGGGAAGGTGAGGACTATTGAAGGAAAAAGACAACATTATGGAGATTTGTTTTATGCCAGAGGACGTAACACCAGAAACATTAATTATTATAGACAGAACTGATACGTAGACAAAAACAACAGCAACAAAAAGAGCAGCAGTATCAGTATGTGACACCCCTGGTTGTAACAGAACAAAACGAAAACAAACAAACAAAAAAAAGGGAAAGAAACATTACAACCATACATGCCAGAGGAAATTCTGATGACAATAGCTGCTGAGGAGCAGCAGTCAGGTGTTTCTGATGCCAGCTCTGGATATATTCTACCTTTCATCTGGGCAGATATCAGCACTCTCACACCCTCTGAGCTTCACAGAGCTTGTGCTGGAGCTGTCGTGTATCGCAGGCTCCGAGTTAGGATATATAGGCTGCCTTTTTCAGACTGCCCCTCTAGACTTCTACAAATGATTAAGAAAGGAGGGGCAGGTCTGGATGATGGCAGAAGGACAGAAGTTCAAGAGCTCCCTCGCTTCTTTTACAGGGAGTGTGGTCAAGAATGGAGTGGGAAGGAGGGTTCACTAGAAAAAGAACGGTTGCTAAAACAACAGAAACTTGGGAGATCCAGATTTCAACTTGTGTAAAGCCAAGAAAGAAGCAAGAGTTGAAGAGTTAGTGGGCAGCAGTGAGTGGCAAGAAGGAATAGGTATTCCAGGAGATCAGGAGGAGACAAGGAAAAGGAAAAAGGAGAAGACAGAGTTAAAACAAGAAAGAAGAACCAGGACTGGGTGTGTTTTCAAGTAGGTGGCATTAACAGTGTTCAGACACAGGGGACCATAAGCACAGTCAGAAGTGAGCAATTTCTGAGAGGTGTAGTTTGACTTGTCTGATGGAAAATAGAGAGTCAATGCTTGGTGGGAACAAGAAGGGAGAGAAAAGGTGTTAACATGCAGAAGGAAAGTGGGGAAAGAAGTGGTGTTGGAGGATTTCAGAGAAAAAGCTTTACATCAGCGACTATGTTGAGCATGATGTGATAAAGCAAATGACTTTTCTATGCATGACATGCAAACCCTCCAGTCTTGGTTCAACACTGGAATTCACTAGAAGTGGAGTTACCCTATTTGGCATATCTTAAAAATGTAAGTAGTATCTCCAAATACTTCCATCAAAAGACTAGCTAACTTTTGGGGCAGGTCAAAGGAGGGGATAAAAGAATGAAAAAAAACCCCATGAAGAAGGGGATGAAAGAAAAAACAAAACAAAACAAAACAAACCCACATTAATTTTCTTCTATTCCACTGTTGGTTTGGTGGTTGTGGAGAGGGATGGTTTAGGAACACTAAGCTTTTAGGTAAACAGAATTTAAGTGTTTTAGAAAACCATATTTTCACCATTATAATTACAAACTATTTAATTAGGCACAAAGAGCAATCAAGATGCAGCTTCCGATTACACCTGCTGACAGCACAGCCACGGATCTGCTAACTGCGTAGAAATGTCTGCAGATCTGATTTTTTTTTAAATACACTTTGCAGGTATCCCATGGGGTACTTCCTAAGGCGTTACAGATCAGCAGGAGTCTACAGAGCACTAGCTGAGCGGTGCTGGTGTAATGCACTCTTAAAACTAGAACTGTAAAGCACTTAACAAACGTGAATCACCGTTGATTTAGAAGGCAGAGGGTGAGGACAACACCAGGAGTCCTCCTTCTGCCTCACACTCCTAAACACAAGTGTTAGGACATTTCTCTCTCCTCTCTGGAGAGAGGAATGTCCACCACTTCCCTACGCCTCAGCTGTCTCCTGAAAGGGCAGGGAGGAAGGGCTGGGTGTCCTGCTGCTGCCCGCTTCATGCCCATATATTTCCAGGTTTCTATAGGAGTGCAGGTGCTGCTACACGCACTCCAGGATCCCAACCCATGCTGTACTATTCCTAAAGTGCTGGGCTGCAGCGAGTCACTTGGTTTTTCCTCACCTTGTTTTACCTAGCATAGCTGTATGCAATCCCTCCAGGTGTCAGAAAACAGTAAGGTGGTAACCAGCACGTATGTGTGTGTTCATTCAATTATATGGGAAGGGAAAGATTTTAGAGAGAAAGACCCTTAAGATGTGAATTAGAACCTCCATTCCTGAAGTCATACCTTACAGGAAGGTATCTCTGCAGTTCTGACCACCCAGTTAATAAAGGTCACTGCTGCTCAGCCACAGACCTTCATTGCCCAGGATATTGCTAAAGAATCAATAGCAACCTCAGCCGGAGCAGAGAGTAGAAAACCTCTAACCTCTGCAGGTGTTACACCTGCATTTGACAGGAACTATGCACGAGTCCTGAGTCTACGCTGCGTTCTGGGTGGCCTCAGGACCCTAATCTTTCTACCATGATGCTAAAAACCTGGTGTCAGGAGACCATCTTATAGATCATACCTAAGCACGATGGATGCCCAAGATCACTTCGTAGGCACGTGTGGTGCACTGGGGTATGTTGAGCAGCCAGTGCTCTGAGACAGCTCAGGAGAAGGAAGAAGGGCATGGCATTCCCATGAGCCCACCCTCACATCGTGGAACCAAGTAAACACAAGGGTTCACACACACAAGGCTGTACTGTAAGTCAGTCATTCACAGCTCTCAGCAGATGTGACAGAACTGAACTTGTTGGTGTAGCAGCCTTTCCAAGGACCAAATTAAGGAAATTTGACAGTCAAGGAACAATGAAAGAGAAATACCTTGGTTTCTACCTAGTTTCTCTATTTTATCTACCCCTAACTTTGCACATCTCTCACTTTCCTAAGAGCAGAAAAAGGATCCTTTCTTTTCTAAAAAGACAAGGAAAAGAAGCACGAATCAAGGCTGTAGCTCAGTCCAGACAATCTAGAGGACGTGGACTGACCCTGTCGCTCTATTCTCTCCCTGCCACAAACCAAGTCCCCTCCAGCATTTGCCATACTAGTCAAACAGAAGATCCATGGCCCCATAGCTACTTGTTCAGACTTTCTAAAGACTCCAGTAATCGACAATGTATGGTTATGCAAGGATATCTTTTCTAGCTTTCCTCTGCAGCCATACTTTCACCATATTAGATTTATCTATCAATTTCTATCTGAATAACGGAAATTGAAAACTGAAAGTAAGTTAATTGCAGGAGTAATTCCTGGTCGAGACTGCCATTATCTCCAGAGAATGCAAGGCGACCCTGCTCAGAGCCAGCAAGGCTTCTTTGACAGAATGAGCACTCGGGCTCTTCAATTCTCCTAAAGAGAGAGCTCATTATCTTCATATGTACACGCTGTTTATAAAGACAGATAAATATTATTGCTCCCATTTTGCAGAAAGGTTAACTGAGACCATGACTTGCTCAAAGCCCAGCTACAGTGGAACGCTGGACAAAACCTAATTGAAGCTATTATTTTTTCTCTCAAAGTAAGTGAATTTTTAAAACATTTTGAAAAGATATAGTTAGAGAAGTAACAGCAGGCTTGATATGCTTCAGCTGCTGAAGTTATGTGGTACTTTAATGCTTAATTCAAGCTAACATTAAGGTCATTAGAAGAATCTGTTGAAAAAAAATGTTATGAAGCAGCAAACCAAGTGTTGTGCCTATGAGACTATTACCCTTTACTGTTTCAGATGTAACATGAACTGGATTGGAATAAATAGAGTGGAAAAACTCTTACTTAATTGACATTTGAAAGTTAAAGACGATGGCTCTAAAAGGAAATCTATTGCCTGGATTCCAAGGGACTAGCCAAAAATATGTAAAAAGAACAATTAAGGTTACAGAGCTGGTATACTTCTGTTGAAACTTTTTGGGTCTTTTTTGAGAAATTTAAATTGCACACAGTAAATCAGATTTGATTTCTGGCAAATTATGCTTTGATACTGCATTCAGCAAGCGCTGGCTTCAATCAATGTCACGCTAAAGCTGTGTTATGCTAATAGCCGCTCGTGAGGCTGAGCGAGATGATATGGAAATCAGATGGTTGAACATGAATAGAAAGCACAGGCCATGTACAAGGGGGCTTTGAGACGAGGGGATGGGGGGACCCTAAGGTTAATCACATCATGTTCAGAACTGGTTTTACAGCACAGAACAGTATTCTGCTGCAGGAATTAAAATGGAGATAGAAAAGCATGAGCAGTAGTGAGCATTAGTTCTGTTCCTCACAATGGGATGAGTGCATTGTCCTGCACCCCTTCTGGATGTTGTTTTATGCATGACTGAATGGATCCTTTATTCTACTAATAAACGCACATGAAGGTAGCCTCTGCCCAAGTGTTAAAGAGCTTTAGAAAAAAAAGAAGAAACAAATACTGCAAATTATTTCAGAGGGATTTCTCCACTCTCCTCCAATCTTAACAGTTACCAGAAGCTCCAATCCGAGGGGTTGGATTGCACTCATCCCTTTCCCAGTAGTGCTACTGAATAGTAAAGGTTATGCTGAGTCACCAGGAGCTGATAAAGCTGCTGATGTAAAGAAGCTTGACTGAGATAGGAAGTTCACCCCTCCTAGGTGAACTCTGGCCACCTGATAAGAAATTTGGCAGAAGACTCAGAAAGGGAGTGGAAAATTACCATAGAAAAATGTGAATTTATAGCAAAAAGTACACTGATCTCCTATCGAGTACCAGCAATGTTTTCTTCTGGTGACACAGTTTTCTAAGCTGATCTTGTGATTTGTGGTTTACATTTAATTCAATGATCCAAAGGGAATTTTATTATCATGACTTGCTCCCAGAACCTCCCCCAGCCCAGACGCCTTGGGGGGTCATATATTATATTGCTGTGATTTTAATTTAAAGTAGATATTGTAGCAAGTTTCTGCTCCTACCACAAGCAGAAATGGAATTGTAACCACAGCAACTAGTATCAGTGGGATTTTTGTTGCTGTTTGGGTTTTTTCTAAGCATCCTCAATTACCTAAAGCAGCCACTATGAGACCAAACTCATTTTACATAATCCAAACAATTTTCAAACAATGA